GCCTAATCGATGTGTGGATTTTAGATTTACAATCTTTCATAGATGAACATAAAAATCATAAATAAGAAGTCCTTACACTTAAATAAATTAGCTTCTCCATTTTAATTGGGAAGCTAATTTTAACTGCCTTAAAATTGCCATAAAGTGCTATAAGATTGGCTCAAATAAGTTTGCAAAATCTATCTCATTATTATGATTCCAGAAAATGTTTATGGGCCGAAAAGAGAATATAAAAATATATTATTTCTTCGTAGCTATCAAGACCAAGATAAAGTGGCCTTTCGCTCGGTCGCATCTTGGTCCTCATACCTCCGATTTAATTACGATATTAAGTTTTCCATATAATCATTACAGCAGATAAAAGAGGACAACCTTAAGCGACTCTTGTCTTTTGACTTTTCTTAACTGCTGTAAACATTACGGCATATAGGAAAATATCATTCTTACTACGTCAATTATATATTGAAGTTGTTTGACCATGTTTTCACAACTTGGTCATATTGGTAGGAAGACTTATAGGAACGTACCTTGTCCTAAGTCCATTGTATGCATAATTATTTCCAAAGTCGGACTGTGGACGTGGTACATTCCCAGACGTTTCTACTGCATCATAGTCGGCATCGTCAGTGAGTTTTACCATTCGTAGCACCATATTACAACTCGTCAAAGAGATAAGTGAAGCCGATCTAAACGTGTGCTTAACAGTTGCGGTATCTCCCATTTTGCCCTGGCCTCTTCGCATTTCCCATATCCTCCAATCACGCCATCACTGTCACAATATTTTACTTGCTTAATTAAATGTGGTACGGTGTACCGTTTTAAGCGGCTTTCATGAGAACCCTCCGCACTCCACGCTGACCTTCTCACCGCCCTTCATCATTGTGCTGGGAATGTTGATCGGAGACTCTTATATTGTTACGCAGTCCTCCTTCCCTAGGTCTTACCCCAGTCTCTCTCTTTACCTGTAAGATCCGTCTGCCTTCTCTATGGTTCACATATTTCACTCGACCCTTGCCACCCTATATGTGCCAACTTGAGGCGTTATTGGACCTACCCTGCGTCTGGGTGACTAATTCGAGACTGAAGCCTCTGAGTAAGTGTCATGGTCAAACCTTTGCCACATGGACCACGTCTCTTATAAAAACTACTGTCATCCCACTAGCTTCAATCGCCGCTGCGTCTATCCTGTTTTTATCTATAATACCAAGTCTATGACTTCTCATACCCTAGTCTCTTGTGTGCCAACCCACAAACATTGTCGTTCAACATTAAACCGAGTCAAAGCAAGCATAACCACAACATTTGTGGGTTGGCACACAAGAGACTATGG